AGTGAGTCATACGGCATTATTCACAATGTCCATTGCCTGGATTTCTAGAAAACTACAGGTTAAATAAAAATAACAATGAGGGTATACAATAGCCTATATTGATAATATTTGCAGTTTTATAGAGCAAAAAAGGTCAACATATTTTTTTTCTCATCAGGGAAAGCCTATCTACTTTACAGTTTGCATGTGTAGAGATATTATATTGACTCATCCGGCTGTTTAAAGGGTTACATTGGAAATAGAGTTATATATATCCCAGTTTTTAGGGGAAGCAATTGTCTTTGACCTAGAGGCATATTCTAAGATGCAGCAGGCATTACATAGATTATAGTTGACCAGGGACCATTTTTTAAAAATCATGGTATAGGATATAATTCAGATTTCACATGTATGTATGTATGTATGTATGGATGGATGGATGGATGGATGGATGGATGGATGGATGGATGGATGGATGGATTTTGGTAGCTAAGCCAAAGACAGAAACAACAGTGGGGAGATAGGTGACAGTTTTAAATGGAAGGCCATCATTTGAACTCCTCATAAAATTCCATGAGCATAATGAGGTAATTAGACAATGATACAATCATTTAAAAATAACCCTACACCCCCCCCCAAAAAAAATCAAGCATTTCAGCATGTAAAAAATGTAGTATATCAGGAAGAAGATTAGAGGACACCTTGGTTTACATGACAATGCTTTGTGTCTAATCATTACATAAATGTTAGAACAGCAATAGTTACAATTAAGAGCGGCTCAATACTTGAGATCTACATTTTACTCATTTTTGGACTCCTACAGAAATAGCAAGCAATTTGCAGGTTACGGTAAAGGGAGGAGGTCACAACTTTTGAGGCACGTTTGCGTATACAAATCCCTGCAGCCAAGGAGCCAGCACATCAGCAACAGATTCTTCCAGTTCGGTGCTTCCTAATTTGGCGTTTTCAATCAAGGATGGAGACTTTATGCGTTTCTAGGTCCCTGGCCCTCAGTGCAAAAATAAGACAAGCCACAAGAGCATCCTTCTGCTTGAGGGTATCTGGGAAGAGTCTGGAAACATACGACAAGGAGCAGGGCCAACCCAAGACCAAAAGATGCCCCAGGAAAGATGTTTTTGAAGAGGAATCTTTAGGAAAGAAGCATCTTAGGCACCCATTTCTACACCAGCTAGTTTTCAAAAAACCTCACTCTTAGCTCATAGCTCATGTCACAATTATAATTCCCATATGAAGCATAACTGTATGCATGGATCATAACGCAACTGCATTCTCTCTTTTACACACACACTCCTTGCATTTCACAGGAACTCAGCCACAAGTAAGAATCCATAATAATGTATTCTCAAGGAATAATGTATTCTCATAATAATGTATTCTCAAGGAATAATGTACTGTATTCACACAGACATCCTCTGAAGATGCCGGCCACAGAGACTGGAGAAACGTTAGGAAGAAGAGCCTCCAGGACATGGCCAAAGAGCCCGAAAAACCTACAACATCAATTCCTAATAACTTTTCAGACAACCCCATAGAAGTGCAGTGCTGGCCATCAGTGTTATATCGGAGTGAGGCTTCAAAGAGTCAAAATACAGTACCAGGACTTTCTCAGGACTGGATATTCCCAGTGACAATATATTGTTGTGAAGGACCTGCTGTTCTCATGCAAAGTATTTCTGGATGGCTTAAGTGTTGAGTGAACAATCCAAGGAAAAACAACTTTCGGAGTGAGGCTTCAAAGAGTCAAAATACCAGGACTTTCTCGGGACTGGATATTCCCAGGGACAATATATTGTTGTGAACGACCTGATGTTCTCATGCAAAGTATTTCAGGATGGCTTGAGTGTTGAGTGAACAATCCAAGGAAAAAACAACTCGAACCAGCTTGCTGATACAGAGCAACCAAGCCGCCTGCAAGACACAGTGACGGCAAATGTCAGAATGAATGCCGACGCTTCAGCATTTACTAGTATTCTGCTGCTGACTATGCAGGTCAGTCCGCCAACTTCAGAAGATAAAGCAAATGATTGGTGCTGTTTCTTCCGGCTGATTGAGTGGACAGATGAGCAGGCACCTCCAACATAGACAACCCAAGCTCATTTCCTCAGGCAGTGGTGCGGATTGCCTGCCTCTAAATCCAGTCTCTGGCTGGGAAGTGGCCTGGGTCCAAGCCCATCTCAGGGACATTTCCAGCCAGCCTCTGGCCACCCACTCATTGACAGCGGTGGCGTCTGTTGCTCACATTAATGCTATAAATTGTGTTTGTCAATTGCTGCCTCAGATTCAGTGATTCCTGCCAGGCAGCCAAGGCTAACAAAAAATAAATGCTCCGTCTGTTTCTCTGTCACCCAGATGACACAGGCCACCCTGCCTTTCCCAAAACACACGGCATTCTGCCCTTCTGCCACCATCATGACACTCCCACTGTGCATGGCACTGCCACAATCACCAGAAACCCTTCCTGGCCTCGATCCGTGCAGGTAATTACTCATGGCTAATGATAATTATCAAGTCTCCTAGAATTTAATGGACACATATTATAGCCCTGCTTGTGGTTTTACATATGAATTAAGCACATATGGGCTTCATGATGCACAGAAGCAGGATTTATGAAGCGCCAACAAAACCTCTTGTTAGCAAAGACTTTTATTCCACTAATAAACAGCTTGATTTATGGACGTAAGAAAATTAATATCGGAACCGCCTCGAAAACTACGGTGCTTTGCCGCCCTCTAGTGGGCAAGAGGGGAAATGACAGATGAGCTTTTCCTTCTCAACTTTATTCCCAACCCTAAGTCTTGTATCAAATACATTAAAATCATTTCCTTTCTCTTACCTCTGGTGTCCTACAGCCATTTAGCCGGGGATGCGCAAAATGCAACTTCCAAGGGCATTTTCATCCCCAGTCTCCCAGTGCCAAAATAGTTTTTTTTCTTATCCCAGAGGCCTCCGGGAGGTTTTTGACTTAAACTCCAAACCCCGAAACACCCACAAAGAATATTCAATGACAGGAATCTGGGCTTTTCATTCATTTCCGTTTTGTAATTTTTCAAGGGCATCTTTCAACATTTCCAAGCCTAGTGGTCCCTGGCATGCATGCTGGGCGATAGAAATCTGATCACCTCCTGGCCCCAGGCCTGCCAAAAGCTGCTTACTTTGCTGTAATGGAAACAATCCCGGATTCTTTTCCACTTGCACTCTGTTTTCTCTTCCCACCCTTCCCCCATTTCCTCTCTCTTGAACTTTACACTGCAAACTCTTTGAGGCAGAGGCCCATCCTCTTGTCTTTTGTAAAGTGTCATACATACTCATTGTTCCTTCCCTATAAATAATGGGAGATGCATTTCTGCAAACAATTGGAACACTGATTCAGTTATCCTTCTTGTGCTCCCCACCACCGCATTCTCCATTCCCATATTTCTATAGTTCCATAAGCAGCATAAAGCAGCAGTTTGGTTAAGTTCACTTAACCAGACACCAATTTCACATTCTTAATTTTAGTCCACATTTAATTAAAAGAAGCATTTTTTTCAAGTTTAAAAAAATTGCTTGAAAAACTGTTCCATAGAAGAGAGCAAGATGGTAACGCTACAGGTACCAGCCAATCAGTTCTGTGCATAGCCATGTGTTACTACAGTAATGATACAAAGAAAAGCGCAAGCTTTCAATGCTCAAACAAAAGACAAAGAACTTCCACAGCACACCCCCTCAAAGAGGTGCCATTTATATGCACCCTACAGCAGCCTTTCTCAACCTTCTGCTTGACAGGTATGTAGGACAGCAACTTCCATCATCCCCAGCCAATAAAGTGAATGCTTGCTAGGTAGGCATGATGAGATTTCCAGTCCAACATATCTGACCATTATCAGCTTGAGGAAGGATGGCCTAAAGACACACACAGAGATACATCTTATGCACAGATTTCCTGCATGAGTTCTTATACATTTTGTAACCCTCCAGTAATGATGAGATTTCCAGTCCAACATATCTGACAGTTATCACCTCGAGGAAGGATGGTCTAAAGACACACAGAGAGGTACGTACATCTTGAGCACAGATTTCCTGCATGAGTTCTTACACATTTTGTAACCCTCCAGTAGAGCCAGTTGCTGCAGCCCAGTGTACACAAGCACCCATTTCAGAGCATTAACTCTTTTGCTTTGCAGTGTATTTGACTCAGGTCAGTGCCAACCTAACACCGCTTTTCTGTGTACTGTATTTTGTCATCCATCTCTATTGCCTCCGCATTAACTCTTTTGCTTTGCAGTGTATTTCACAGGTCAGTGCCAACCTAACGCCACTTTTCTGTGCATTCTGTCATCCATCTCTATTGCCTCTTCTGCACAGAACTGTTTTCCAAGCAATGGCTCCAGATCCAACGTCAACGTATTTTATTTATTTATTTTTACATTGAGCTGATATGCTATCGCTGGAGAATACCCTTCCGTGTGGTTGGAAACTGCCAGAAACAGGCATTGCTCCCTGTATGGACATGCCCGTTTTATCTCACTCTTGACTCCAAGTTACACAGCTCCTGAAACAGTACAAAACCAACTGAACCTGCTTAATCAGTGGATGAAGCAAGGTGATGGGACATAACCAGTTCAGCTATACTTCTTGGAAACCACGTTCCATGTCTGTATTTTTAAAGGAGCATCGTGTGGTGGAATCACACCTTCTGAAACCACACAAAAAACCTACAGAACCTCTTTAAGCAGATCGAGAGTCCACATCAAGATCACCTATCCTTTTTCCAGATTACTATCCTACCCCCACTCCCCATTTCTAAGGTATGATGGAGTTATTATTGTTAGCCGCAAATGCTTCTTTGAAACCTGAATCCATACTGCCTCTTTGACTCCTTCACTGTTTTGATTATCTTGGCATTTAAGCCTCCCAAACTTCAACAACCACTCGTTGGCAGGAGCTACTGTACCAAAGGCCGATCCGTGAAAGCCAAACGCAACCTCAAGCCTTAGTAACAGAGTGTCGAACTCACTCACCAGCATTGACGATCGCATCCACCTCTAGCTTGGTGATATCCCCACGGAAGAGAGAGATCTTCTCATTCAGATGGTTATCCTTGGGGTAAACTGTCTCTTCAGGTTGCTTGACCCGGGCGCCTGGCAGCCTGAATCCATACTGCCTCTTTGACTCCTTCACTGTTTTTATTATCTTGGCATTTAAGCCTCCCAAACTTCAACAACCACTCGTACCAAAGGCCTCTCCGTGAAAGCCAAACGCAACCTCAAGCCTTAGTAACAGAGTGTCGAACTCACTCACCAGCATTGACGATCGCATCCACCTCTAGCTTGGTGATATCCCCACGGAAGAGAGAGATCTTCTCATTCAGATGGTTATCCTTGGGGTAAACTGTCTCTTCAGGTTGCTTGACCCGGGCGCCTGGCAGCCGTGGGATAAGGGGGAAAGATAACAAATATAAAGACTTATGAGAGATCTGTAAAAGTCAATCATGTTTCAGTACTACCGCTAGTATCCTGTTGCCTATCTATTTTCCACATTCAGTACTACCGCTAGTATCCTGTTGCCTGCAAGGATGCTGTGGAACAGTCTGCTCCACACACAGTGTCTCCTTTACTTATGCAAGGGGGGCATCAGGCAACAAACGAACAGAATGCCTGCTTAAAGCAGAACTGACTAAGCTGAGAGCCATCACCTCATACTGCATTAGAGGAATTCAGAATTAAGGTAAGCGTTGTAAGAATAAGTACTTGCTTCACTCTCTCTGCAAAATCTTCCACTATTCAGTTTTACTGCATGACACTAAGTCCTAATATTATGGAAGATGGAGAAAATTTTCTTCTTATCTATTTTCCACGCAGCATGCATAACCATATATACTACAACCATTTCGCTTCTTATTCAGCTTATCTCCTGAATTAACAAGTTCCAAATATTGTATTCTAGAGTGGAGAGAACTTCTGGTCCTTCCTTTGTTGGTGAAATAATACTCTCATCATCCCCCCCTCCACCATCAGCTGTATTGGAAAGGAATAATGGGAGATGGAGTGTGTCTAGCAAGATATCTGCATATATATTTTTTGCAATATTATTTTGTATATATACATTAATTTTATGTATAGATACCTTATTATTAGTATGTAATCCTTTAAAAACATTCTTGAAAGGCCCCCAAACTCCAGATATAGAAAAAATGGAACAACAAATACTGTAACTGAGCATGAGATAGATGATAGTATAAATAAACTTAAGACTCCAGGATCAGACGGATTAGGCCCAGAATATTATAAGACATTTCAAAATCTCCTCTTATCTGAATTGAAGGATTTATTTATTAGAATATTAATGGCAGAAGGAATTCCAGGGTCTTGAAAACATTCAATTAATGTTAATTTTGAAACCAGATAAGGACCCGACTAATGATCATGTAGACCAATTTCATTGATGAATCAGGATGCTAAAATATTTACATTTATTTTACCTAGAAGATTGAATGGTTTTATTGATGAACATATTGGTAAAGATCAGAATGGATTTCTAAACAATAGACAAATGGGGGATTTAATAAGAAGGGTATTAAATGTAACCAATACAATTAAAGAAACAAAGAAAAAAGCAGGGATACTGTTGCTGGATATTTTCAAGGCCTTTGACTTCTTGGAATGATCAGCTTTAAAAATATTAACACAAGAACTAGGTTTTGGTGCACATTTTAGAAATATTATTCAGCAACTATATTCAGAGAATGCCATGATTTTAGTAAATGATGGTATGACAGAAACAATTGCACTAGGCTGGGGAACAAGACAAGGATGCCCCCTATCTCAAACACTATTTGCCATGATAATAGAATTATTATCGAATACAATTAGAGAAGATACCAAAATAAAAGGATTAGGGAATAAAGATAAAATCAAGATAAACTTCTTTGCAGACGACATGTTACTAACAATTGAAAATCCAATTAATTCTATAGAAAAGATTAAAAATTAAATTAAATTTTGTGTTTTGGCTGATAAAGAATTAAAAGAACTCCAGAATGTGATTAACATGTATTGCAATGAAAATAAAAGGGCAAAGATGAATAAAACATTATGGTATCTTCCTCAAAACAATGGAGATTTGAGTATACCTGATATTAAATTATATAGCTCATCGAGATATATACGTACCAGAAATTTTAGTAAACAGTAATGGGATAATATGGAGTGATCATGAGTTTTACAAGATTAAGGAAGATACGGAAAAATTGTTTTTTAAGCAAAATTTAAAGGATATTCTTATAAATATAGATAACCCATTTTATACAAATACTGTACAAATAAACTTATTTGTAGCTGAGAACCCATTTTTAAATAATACGTTGCAATGCTGGAAGAAGTACAAGAGAATAGTGAGTCCAAAGATTTCACCATTGACACATGTGGTGGAATCACACAGTTTTCCAGATAACTTGAAGATGAAATTAAATAAGGTTTTGTTAGAACAGAAAGTTATAAAAATTAAAGATTGGAATAAGAAGATGTATAGTACAGTATAGAGAGAATTAAAAGAAAGGGGAACCTACTGTCATATGTGGCAGGCATGTGAAGAGAGACAGAAGGAATGGATTATTATATTTAATGAGATTAAATTCTAGAGACAAATATACAAAGATCCCCAATGTTAGCATTGTTAAATATATTAGGAAACAGTCAATTAGACAGGGGGAAAATTGAACTAATCGTTATTATGTTAACAGCCACTGGACTGTTATTTGCAAAGAACTGGAAAAATGATAATCGATTGATGTTGGAAGAATGGTATAATGAGATGTGGAACCTAGCTATTAACGATAAATTAACTTGTGAATTTAAAGTTAGAAAAGGATAATTGAAAGAAAATCATTTTAATGGGATCTGGAACCCTTATACAGAATACGTATTCACAAAACATAAAGGTTATACTCCAACACAAGAATCATTATATTTTTGGGGAAAAACGGAGCACATTATAAATTAAGATGAAATATATTGATGAAAAATATAAACTCAAAGCGAATAGGCCGAGAATGCTGTCACCAAATCAGAACATTGTGCTTTAAAATTTGAATCCGTCAGAAAGAGGAATGGTCTCTTTCCGAGCACAGAATGTTTATCGCAGCGTTTTGGGCATTTAAAAAAAAACCTGAAAACTTGGATGCTTACGCAGGCCTTCCCTCCAGCGAATACCTGATTCTTTTTGTTGTTTTTCTTTCCCCCCCCCCTTTACTTTTGGATGATTCGTTTATAATGACGTCTATAAACTTTGTTATATTGTAATTTTGTTAGATTGTTGTTTTGTGCGTTGGAAGCCACCTAGAGTGGTCGTTGACTAGATAGGTGGGATATAAATGCGATAGATAGATAGATAGATAGATAGATAGATAGATAGATAGATAGATAGATAGATAGATAGATAGATAGATAGATAGATAGATAGATAGATAGATAGATAGATAGATAGATAGATTTCATATTAATTTATATATCCAATAGTGGTGGGTTACAATGTATATTTGAGTTATGATTTGTTTTTGTTGTATTTTGTTATAAAAAAATTAAAAAATGAGTCTAGCAAGGTCTAAAGAGCCTGGGTTTTCTCCCTTCTGTCATAATTTTTTATTGCAAAAGGTTTATTCCAGCCCATTGATCGTTTTCACCAGACGTCTCTTCACCTTCTTCAGTTTGATGATATTATTTCTCAAATCCATCACTTGAACGACCAGCAACACACCTCAGTGGTAGAACACACGCTCTGGAGGCTGACTTCCCCAGTATTTTCACGTAGAACTGGAACAGACTCCTCTGAAGCTCTGGAGAACTCTTGCCAAGTCATAGTAGATAAGACTCAGCTAGATGGACCGTTTGCCTGACTTAATAAAAAGACAGCTTTTCTGTCTGCCTGGAAAAACGTCTCCACTCAGTATAAGAACCATGTTGAGCTAACTCAGGATATACTGTTTAAAACATTCACAGGTCCATAGCACTTTCTTTCCCGGATATTTTTTGTGGGGGAAAAACACACACCAACAAAGCTGTATGGAGTAATCATGAAATAATGGAGTCAAAGGGGGCCTCTAAGGCCATCAAGTCTGACCCTCAATGCAGGAATCCAAATCAAGGTAGATCTCATAAAGAGTGCTAAAAACAAAATAAGACTCACTTTTGGCCATCTCTTTCCACGTAGGTATTTGCTTCAGTTTGATGAAATCCCGGGTGAAATAGTGCTCTCGTTTCTGCTTGTTATTCAGCCCTTTCAGAAATGCTGAGCAATTAAAAAGGAGGGAGGGAGGAATGGGGAGGGGGAGAAAAAAAATAAGAAGTTAAAAAGATGGAGAGGAAAACTGGTTCGTGTCTGGGAGAAGAGCATATAAAGAAGGCATCTGGGGGAAAGGACAGGCTTGATGTCATGATGAACGGTTGATAGATACCAGTATTCTTCAAAGTGGCAAAACATAAATAAACCTTTTTACAATCATACTCTGCTTTGAAACCTTCAGGCCCCAGCAGTATATAAATATTAATTAATAAATAACTACACATCAAAGGTAAAGAACAAGAGCACACCACTGTAGTGGCACCACTGGATATTTGTACACCCTTTCCTGGGAAAACTTTTGGCCTTGGGCTACTAAGTGATAGAGCAAACAGGGCAGCATTGTCCTAGGAAGGGAGGTAAACGTGGAAATTTCATCATGCCAATTATACACCTTATTGCCCATGTGTGCCAGAACATCTAGCTACCAGTATCTCTTAGTTGTGAAAATCATTTCCCATTCTAGATGTGTCCAGGCTGCAGATTAACGGGCATCTGAACAAAGCCACCTCTGCTTTGGAGAAAAAGTCCAGGGATGACTCAGAAGAAACAGTCTTAGATCTAGCCTTCCAGTGTTGCTGAGTTCCAGTGGACCGATGTTGGCTTGAAGGAGGTCCACAAGCTCCCTGCAGGGTCTGCTAGTCCTTTGCAAAGGCATTTAACCCGTCTTCCTCTGGGACCTTATTGGCTGATGTTGGAGATCCTCTTGTGATTGATAAGCAGTTCTTGTGGGAAAGCCTGCATGGTGGATTTCACGCAGGTCTTTAAAGTGTGAATTCTCCACCAGTTTTTTTTTAAATAACAGAGATTGAAAAAGTCATGCTTATTAGACAAAAGTTTCCAGAAACCTCCCAGACACCCATAGTTATTACTTTCCAGACTGCATTCCGCAGACTATCCCTCTGACTGTGCGGACTAGGAGATTCTGGTAGTTGTATATCAAAAAAGTAACTTTTCTGAAGCCTTTTATAAGAATTATTTATTTATTTTAAAAAGTTGACCGCTCAGATTTTAAGGTGCACCATCCTCTCAAAGCTGTTTGTAAATAAACAGACATGCACCCGACTTAAAAAATAATTGCTTGTAAGGGTATCTTCCGTAATAATATTCTGACTGGAACATCATCACATGCACTGATGGGTCAAAAACACTGCAGCCGGATTGTTGACCAGGGCTGGTTACAATGATCACATAACCCGCTTGTTACAAGCAGTTCTACTGACTGCCAATCCATTTCTGGGCACAATTCAAAGTGCTGGTTTTTACCTATAAACTGCTTAGGTCCAAACTATCTCAAAGACCGTATCTCCCTTTATGAGGCTGCATGGGTGTTCAAATCATCAGGCGAGGCCTTTCTCTCAATCCCGCCAACTTCTCAGGTGCCCTTGGTGGGGACACGGAAGAGGGCCTTCTTTGTGGCTGCTCCCCAGACTTTGGAACTCCCTCCCACTGGAAGCCAGGCTGGCCCCAACTTCGTGTCCTTCTACAAGCAAAGACCTTTCTCTTCAGGCAGGCTTTCCCTTAGTGTCTGGCTATCTGAGAAGGTTTTTTAAATTATTGTTGTGCTTTGTTGCTTTTAAATGTGTTTTTCGTATTACAGTAATTTTATTTACCATTTTAAATATTTGTTTACTTTTAAAAATTTATATTTACTGTTTTTGCTTTTAAATATTGCATTTTTAATTATGCAAGCTACTTTGGGTTCTTTTTAAGGAGAAAGTTGGGGTAAAATATTTTATATAAATAAATACATAAAAATAAATAATAAAATAACTCAAATGCTTTATAAAATGCAGCAACTGGGAGAAAAACCCTCCATATGTTTATTTTAATCAAACACAACTTATGCAATTAGAATGTCTTTAAAATGTTGTCTTTAAGACTAAGAATGACATTACTGCATATGAGGGGACATCAAAAAGTCTTTGCATCTATTATTTATTATCCAAGGTTCTGCAGCTGACATCTCTGTCATCCAAACAGTTTCCCTTTTTATATGTGCCTGGGCTGGGGATTAGCAGGTATGAGTTAGGTATAAAAATCTGTCATTCTGTAAATGAACGCACTCCAGCATCCGACACAAGACTTCAAGTTCCTAGTTTTACTAAGTACAAAGATAACATAGGATGAAGACAAACAAATTTCTTATTTACCCAACCCAGTCATATAAAAGTAGAAACAGATGGAGTTTATCCCTTAACCCAGTGGTTCCCAACCTTGAGTCCTTAACTACAACATTTATTTTATTTTATTTTTATTTATATGCTGCCTTTCTCCCCATAACAGACCCAAGACAGCTCAAAACAGATAAAATAATGTATTTTAAAACACAACATAAATATCATTAAAAAAAACTGAACATAAGATTTTAAAAATCAAGTTTAAAAACACCTTTAAAAATCAGGATTCCTGAGATATCCAGAAGCCTTCAAGAGCAGCAGCCATGATCCACTTGGGAGCCATCGCCCCATCCAAAAAAAGCAGAGAAAGGGCTAAACCCTTCTACTCAGCCTTTCCTGGCTGTATCCTGTTGCTTCATTAATTTCTCTCCCCGATCCAGCTTAGTGGCACCAGTATTTCGTCAAGTGTGCGGCCACCCTGCCCATGTCTACCCTTGGTTTTGAAACAATGATCTTTACCGCAGCAGATGCTACCTGGCTACTAAGCCAGGTGCAGGGTGCTGATTTAGGAAACCCAAAACAGCTGAGGACGAAGTTCTTCTTCCACACAAGCTACTCCGGTTCCTACCTGATTATGAATGGTATTTGCCTATGGAGAATTTTGGTCACCAACGAAAGACTTATTTGGACAGAAATGTCACCGATACACAACCTAACCCAGTGACCTGTCATGATTTTCATGAAATAGCTCACTATTCTGTTGTTTTCTTTCTGTGTTGCTGTTTTACCATCTACTGTAATTTTTTTTAACCTTATAACTCAATTTAATGTTTTTGAAAATCAAAAGGGGTACAACCATGGTCTCCCATGAACAAATCTATTCCCCCCCCCACACCAGTCCATATGCTAAAATCTTCAGCCAAGCCTTATTATTCTTACTCTTATTCTTCTTATTCTTCTTATTCTTCTTATTCTTCTTATTCTTATTTATTTATTTATTTATTTATTTATTTATTTATTTATTTATTTATTTAACACCCATCTGGCAGCCAGGGCCACTCTGGGCAGTTTACAACATATAAATAAACAACAGAACAACAAAATAATACAATATTTTTGTATTAAATAATACAATTCTCTGGGTGCCTTTGAGAAGAGTAACCAAAGAAGTAAGAACTCTTGGTACTAATATCACCATTTGAACTATTTTCCTCAGAGTACATCATCTACTACCCCCTTGGAGACAAGTTTGGTACCAGACAATTTTATTTTTTTTCTAAACACCAGCCGTTTAAAGTTCTGTAATTTAATCTCCTTCCTCCCTGCTCAGCATTAGAGCCTGTGCTTCAGAATTTTGTTGCTTTCAAGCACAGCTCTTAAAAAATTTTATTGGGTGTTTTTCCCCTTAATTATGGTATTTGTCAGGGGAACGTGTCCAAAGGGTGAAGTAGAGTATTGTCCAATAACTCATCTGAAGATCAGTTTTAACAATAAAAATAATACGTAAAATAAATCTGACAACGGACGACCCTCAGGAGGCCTACTGCCCCCAAACGCCTCAGGTATTGTGTGGGTCAAAATGGCTGTTCTTCAACAAATGTCCTTCCCATTAAAACCTAATTGGTGCCAGCCCTGCCGTTTTGCTCTGGGGACAGCTCAAAACCTTTCCAGTTTGTTTTGCTTTATTCACTATTTTCTCTCTTTTAATTTTTTAGGAGATATTTTTGAGTCCACTGTTCTTGTTATCCTTTCTCTCTCTCTCTCGTAACCGTATTTATACGCTGCCCTGGGTTACCCAGAAATGTATAGGCGATTAACATTGTTTCCATACATAAAATTCAAGAACAAACACAAAACAGTTTTCAGTACCAAGGGTTCTTTTGTGTTGGTTTCTTTTTGGCAGCATTTAATGGCAGAAAAAACACTTGGTCCCTCTCTGAGGTCCTATGACAACACAGTGTTGCTAACACCAGCGCTACAATGTCTAGATTTAAACACCTCACTCTCAGTCCTGGCCAACAATTTAAGGGGGGGAAAAACACCAAGGCAAAGAA